GGGTTTTTGGTTTTTTTTTTTTTTACTATTTTTAACCTTTGCGTCATGAGAATGCAACACTCATAACAAAAATAACAGAAGATGCAATGCAACTGCCAAAGAAACAATAAGAGAATATAAAAAAGATCTAAAATATATATTTCTAAGAACATTATAAAACTACTCGGCTATTTGGAAACTGCTTATTTTTATCAAATTTAAAGCTGCAGTCCGTAACTTTTTTTGGTTATAAATTATCCGAAATCAATATTTGAGCAAGTACATAACCAGCCAGTGTTCAAAACTATCGCCTTACTTGAGCCCGATTCACAACTGTTAGCTTATAATAATGTTTTCTAATTTGAGTGGTACGGGTAGGATTTCGCGGGAAATTCGAGCATGCCGCTGCGTCATTACGTCACGTCTGTACACATAAAGAAGTTGTCCCGGCTAGTAGGGTATCGCATGTGAGGATCCTGCAGGTGGCCGATGTTTATAGCCTTTTCTCACAGCAGCCGGAATAATTAAATGTATCATTTTGATGGCGGATTGTAATCCAGAAAGGATTTGGGATTATACAAGATTTGTATTTTAAAGACAACCAGTTCGAAGGGAGCATAATTTGCTTTTTGGGTTAAAATAATTTCTTAATATGAAATTCGAGTGGTATGACAATTAGACTGTACAGAAATTGAAATCTACTCGCTTATACACACTATACTCATAGTCCCGCAATTATGATGTTGTTAACATTAACAATTTGATAATAAAGTATAACAATAATAATAATTTGCACGGTTTGATGTGATATGAGCTCATTTAGATTAAATCACCATTGGTAGCGCGATTTGTAATACTTTTTTCCTCAGTTGGTCAGAACAAACGTGGCAGACTTGTTACTTACTTGTTCAGATGACAATATCTGGTGAAAATGCTTATTTGAGTCATATATTCCAAGACTTAGGCAAGAATCTGTGAGTGCAAAGTACAATATCCACACCAGTGCGGTGACTGTCTGCCACAAATACTCTTCAAAACATTAGATTCATCTGCGCTAGAGACCTGCGCGGGACGGATTTTTCAGTCCCGCTCCCGCCCGTTCCCGCAAGATTCTGTCCGGCGCCCGCCCGCTCCCGCAAATCTTATCTGGTCCCGCCCGCGACATTCATGTTTTGTCCCGCTCCCGCCCGCAAAAGCCCGCATAAAAGTAATCTATATAGACTGTTTTAAGTACATTGAAGAAATTTACATTAAATGGTTCTGTAACATCTCCTAAGCTCCACAACATCCCAGCATAAACATAAACTACTACCGATAAAATATTTGTTATTTAGACTAAGCATCAACATTCACAACCACTGTTATTTTTTACGGAAAGCAAGCTTGGGCTGCTGCGTTCATGGTTTGGCATGGCAGAATGCGAGCAGCACACTTCCTTTATTATCACAAAAAGCTGACATCTCAGTTAATCGCGATCTCATAAAGCTCTGTTATAACACTAAATATACTAAATATATGCACAATGAATCTTTCAGAGTGTCTAAAATGAGAGGATTCGTGAGCACACAATTTCAGCACTGCGGTGAGTAGATTCTAACTTGATCACCTCTGATTGGCCATTGCGTTCCAGAAATAAACAGTCAAAATCTGTGATTGGCTACATTATAAATGGAAACTAGGCTATGTCTAGCTTGCGCGTTAATCATTTTAATGTTAATATTAGTTGTTCTTTTTGCTTTAGTGCAACAGATAAATAACAATTTATATGTTTTAGACACTTTATGTTTAGATCATTTCTATTTTGCGGGAGTCCCGCGAATCATTTTATTCTCCCGCATCCCGCACACACACAAGTCTCTTCCCGCCCGCACCCGCACTCACCCATCAAGAGTTGTCCCGTGCCGCACCCTGTTGCGTTGGGTCCCGCGGGTCCCGCGGTACTCCCGCCGCGGGAGTGCAGGTCTCTAATCTGCACCGCCACACAACCCACGCAAGGAAGATAATTCCGCACACAGCTGCAATTTCAGGTTTTCAAACAGAGATGGCGACAAAGAGGCAAAACTTACGGACTGCAGCTTTAAATAGTAGCATACAATAAATACTGATGGTATTATCATGGTAATGAATATGAAAATCACATAATAACATGACTTCGACATGTTCTTGACAGGTTTTGTGAGATTTAATATAGGTCATATTCAAAATAAGAAATGATATGTTGTTTTTATAAAGAAAAGGAAAACTATTTAGTACCTTTACAATTTCTTTGCATCGTGACATTATTTTCTTTTCTTTTCTCTCTTAATTCAGCTTACCATTAAGTCTAAAATGGACTTTATTGTGCTAAATGTTCAGTCAGATGGTATGAATAGTATGAAGGTAAAAACAACATTTTTCACCAAACAGGATATTATCTGGTGAATTCCAGCTGTCAACTGCAAAATATATGTCAAATAACTCTTTGAGCACATTAAAGCTGACATGCAATGTCATTAGCAATCATTTTACATCCATATTGTGACATATTTCTGAGTACACCAGGAAACTAAAAATAAAGGAAGGGACTTGTTTTTATCCATTGGAAATCAACTGGACATTTAATCATCTCTATATGACAGGTGGTTTGAGAGGAAGGATGAAAAATAAGTGTTGTAATGTCAGCTGAAAAGGGAAGCAGAACATTTGTTTCATGTTGTAGATATTCATGACGCCATGTCACTGTGAAACATTAATGACTCAGGGCCCGAAATCTAGTGAACTAAAAAGAAGTTCTGGATAATTTTACCAAAGCTCCTCTCATTGTCACTATAAGGTTGGTGAAAATACTTCTCAAAAGCATCACATAATTGCTTGAAGTTCCCGCAATTCCTGGTTTCAACACTAAAAGAGGTGTTCAAATGCTCTGGTATTATTTGTTTTGGGAACATAATACCAAGGTATTATTTGAAGTGCCTTGAAATACAATGCAAAAACCTTGGTCAGCGATGGTCAACAAACTAACAAATGAATACCAACGTACTGCATGACTCACTGGACATGTTAATATCATGTTTAACACTAACAAGTACTAAAATGGACCATGGCACTACTATACCTCCCATTAGGAGCATCACTTTATTGCACTGAAAAACAAACAAACAAAATTAAAGCTTTTCCTCCACTATTAGAAGTTTAGTTTCAATTTGGTTTTCTCTTTTGTTGTTGTTTTTGTTGTTATATGAGGAGAATGGGGCTAGTTGTCACATGTCAAATACTGGTTTCAAACACATCGTTCAAAACCCTACTTGAATACATTCAGAGAGTCAACTATATAATCGAGGTAGATTTAAACCTTTTTAATGGCAGGCTCCCGTAGTATAAGAACATGCATAGCTATTGGGGCATGTTGTCACAAAAGGCCAACATCTGTTAAGGGTGTAAATGTTCAATTGCCTTTTATATTCATGTCTTTAAGTTGTGTGCCTATAAATGTAGATAAACTCACAGAAAAATATTTTCTGGAGTAAAAAAGTGTGACATCTAGCCACAGTCTTCTTCCTTACAAGTCTTTGCTCAAGTGTAATTTATAAGTTTACGTTATAATCTGTTGTATAATGACAAACATTCGATGTAAATAACCTTAGAAAGACGCTGTGCAGCTGTGTACTAATGTTGCTAAATTGGCTTGGAAATGTTTCTGTCAATTCCATTCCTGTGTAAGAGCGCCGCTCTTCTCGCTCGCTGCGGCGTGGGGTTTCCCAGAGCAGACTGCAGGGTTACCGCGCCCATCTCCGTCTGATGGCCGGATGAGAGGTGAACTGAGCTGGAGAGAAGTGCTCCTTCAAGGAAGGCAACGGGAAGTGGCCACCGACGGACTTATTAGTTGACCAAAGTCTGCAACCGGACATTTATGACTGCAGTTTTTCATCGCAGTTGAGATCCCCCTCAAACAGGCTCATTTCCCGCCCGCTGGAGCGAGTTTTGTCGCTGTGGAAGTGGACTCGGTACTTCTCCCGCTGCTAGTTAGCGAGCTAGCTCGTCTTGTTCGTTGATGCGTGGATTTGACAGCCACACTATCGTTTTTTTCGGTCAATGCCATATAAACAAAGGCCATTTACGACTGAGAACAGGTATGGGACACTATATGCTTATTTCAAGTGTGTGGAACTGGTTGTTTCGTTTAAAACGGACGAATTTGTTGGATAAAATGCTGGTCACCATAGAGAATGAAGGGGGGTGGGGTGAGGCGCAGGTAGCGGCTAGCCGACCGATTTACATAGACAACAATGCCAGGCAAATTGACCAAAAACAGTCATTTTAAACAGTTATTTACGTTAATGCTCTTCTAATATGGATTTTGAGTGCATTTAATCGCTCAATTCGTTATTATAGCGTGAGTCCGCTTGCTAGCATCTAAAAACGGCGTTAACGTTAACTTACCTCAGAAATTAAACCGATCGAGGATTGTGAGAAATCGGTCATGTGGTGCTTAGGGGCATTTTAAAAGCATCAAAGGTTGATTTTGGGCAAGGGTGGTAAGGGTTTTGGTTGAGAGGCTGATCTGTAAGCTAACTGGCTAATTACTGGAGCTTCTGCTGGCAAAATATTAGGCTTTTCAACCCAGCTAGGCCTTCCTCTGTGTTACAGAATCGAGGATTTTTGCTCGCCAAGGGCTGGTCGAGACATTGCCGTGTACTGGATGTGAATATTGATCGAATTGCAGTCGGTAAATAAAGATTAGTCATTTATTTCTTCACCCGATCGTGTTTTACAATCTGCACCATCTGGCTGAATATTACCAGCAATTCTAGTGTGTGCGTGTTTTATTTATATATTTAACTTGCGTGCAAATGGATTTATTATGTGAGTCCAGATGGCTTAACATGAATCCCAGTGTGCATTTAAGCGACTTGGCGTGTAAGTGTTTGTCTTTATTGCATTAAGTGTGCACTGCTGCTTTTAACTAGACTTTAAAACAACCTAATTGGATTTCCTTAACTAATCCTAAGTCTCTTTTTAAAAGGCCTTGCTGGTCAGGTACGAAGGTACACTGCCTCCCTTCCCGACATCTCAGTGATGCTCCACTACGATCCTCCCTAAACTGCTTTTGTTGACGGTAAAGCCATGCTAAATGTGTTTTCTCCTGCGACCCGGCCAACATTTATCACAGTAATGCAGCAAAAAGCGCTGCGGCTCTTCAGATACGCGGAATGAATGGAGCCTGATGGCCTTATTATCGCTGCTGGAATATTTTAAGAACGGGCGAGCAGCTCAGTATTGAGGTCACTATTAAGGGATTGGTCGGGGAAATATAGGCTATGGTATAAATATGTTGCGCCCCCTCCTTTTTTCCCCTACCGATCGAGTTTGCCTTTCTCTTCGCTGGCATTTAGATAAAGGAACACCGTTCATGAATAAATAAACGGAATCAATGAATTCTTCAATGTGGGGCCCAAGAACAAGATGGCGTCCGCAGTCTCTCTCCGGCTTCCCTCTCCGCACTCATATCAGCATGCCGTTGCTTTAACCCGCTGAAACGGCGAGGAAATGCACCGTTCCGCTGTAAACACGGCGATTTGTTTTAAAAACGAGCCCTGGTAAATATTCCGATGCAAAAGTTGATGCATTTTGGGAATAAATGCTCTTCATGCGTCTAGTGCACTAAAGCTGCACGTCTATCATTTTACGCGAAATGAATTGTGAAATAATCGCCTATCGAATAGTATTTCGAGTGCGCTGGGACGTAATCGTTCACAAATGAAAAGCGTTTTTGTTTTTAACTCGTGCTATTCAGTGCTCTGGACTTCATGTGCATGTGCTTCGATAGCATGGGTTGTTTAGTTAATGCGAATTTATAAGGTTTATTAATTTAAAACGAAAGCAAAATGTGTGCTGCACTGCAAATATTGATTTTTGTAGTTGTGAAAGTTCCCTTGTATTCATCATATTCAGTTCAAGTTGATATACATTTGTCGTATTTATTATATTCAATGTTCATTTTTAATTTAATGTTATATTTTCTAATGCATTACTTGTAATCTATAGGCATTTACATGTTGGAAATCCTTCTGAATGGGTTATGTGTGATCTGCATTGTTTGCTTGACAATTTTGATTTTGAATACACTAGGGCTGGGTAAAAAAATATCAATATCTCGATATTAATTGATTCTCATTTTTACGGAATGATATCGATTCTTAAATCCCATGAATCGATTGGTCTAGCCTGTTTTCAGTTAATGGACGGAACTTTAAAGGGCACTTCCCATCCAATATATCGCAATCAGCATTGTGCTTTGGTACTTTTAATATGAAACAAAGTCTCAGATTTCAAATTCTTTCCATTGTATTGCAGTATTCAAACAATAAATGCAGTTTTGGCGCTGTTTAATGTGGAGTGACAGATCACTGTAGCGCCTCAGATCAACAGATGCTGGAGCGAGGCGCACGTGAACTGATCATCTCCTCCACATTAATGCCAGCTTCAACACAAAATAAACATGACTAAACATCCGAAGGTAAGTTAAAAGCAAGAGTACAACTTTACAATCCGTGTCTCAATCTCATGTAATCGCTCAATCAGTGTTTCAGCCTCGCAAAGACGTCAATATAACGGCTTGTAAACGCATTTACCTCAGAAAAAAACATTTGTGACCATAAACTCATTAGTCAGATAGAAAAATAAACTGCAGAGAGGGTCATTTTGCTAAATATATGCACCATATAATATATTCATTATAAATATTTATTGTTCTACAATGTTTGTTTGAATAAATCCATCAAGTTTTTATGACAGCCACCATTGTTTAGGCCTATATTTCAAAAAACGAATTGAAGTAGAAATATTATGTAATTGTAACTTTATTATTTTAAAAAACTTAATTAAGTGTAATTTTAACAAATCAGTAAATTTTAACCATCAATATTATAGTAATGTAGTACCAACTGACTCTCGTGTATATTTTACAGCATTTGTTGAGAGATTTTTTTTCCCTTGAAAATTTGGCATGTACTGTACCTGATATATATATCCAAAGTAATCGATATTGAATCGAATCACAAGCTTGTGAATGAGAATCGAATCGAATCGTGAAATTTGAATTTGAAAACCCAGTCCTAGAATACACTCACTTTTTGTAATTTATTTTTGTAATTGTGAGTAACTTAAAAAGCAACAGTTTGATTCCCATTGGATGCCTTAGAAGCGGAGAAGGGGAGGGCTGTGATGGCAAAATTGATTTCTGTTCAGATAATGAAGTTTCTGAATATCCTTTTTTTATTTTCATGTTGACACACATTTGTCATGCAGTCATTCAGATGTTGAGATTGTTCATATAAAATCACTATATATCTTGCTCCTAATTCTGTTTTGAAGCATTTTTAAAGTTTTCCTTAAAGGTGATTCCTGTGATGTGGATCTGAAGCAACTTCATTTGTCATCTTTTCTGCCTAAAATATATGTAGAATTCATTAAGACTAGGGATGTAACGATTAACCGCGAGCCGGTTGAAAATCGATTTAAATATGTGACGATTCAAAGCGGTTGAGATGCTAAACAAATCGTGATTCAATTAGGGGCAGGAGTTTATATGAATGTATGTCTGAGGGGAACTTACTGTCTTTTATTTTCCTCTTGCCTCTGTATAATGCCTATTAATGTTCATAAGTGCAGCGCTGCTTTGTTTACAGCGGAAACCAAGGAAACGCTTTAAGCGCCACCTGCTGGCAGAGAGTGAATCTGCGTCTCATTCAGCTCTGCTGTTTGTTTCATGCTGATATTTTTTATGCATAGTTTCACAAAACTGAAGTCAAACCATTCTGTTTTTGCTTCAAATTTCGAAATTATACAATGTAATTTAGATTAAAAACTGCTCATGTTGCATGTATGCAGCATCTTTGTTTGGATTATGAATAAAATGCAGTGGTTGTTTTGGGTAAGTTTCACTACTTATTGTAAAATTAAGAGATTAATTTTTAGACTTTTGAAGATTATAACCTGGAACTTGGATGTGGGTAATAATTACGGTTAGATCCAAAAGATAGTTTAGCAACATAGCGCAGATGCTACAGAACACAGTTAGCTGACTAGCTGTATAAGATTGTGTGCTACGCTAATATATTACTTCACAGGCATTACTGGCTAGTACTTTTACATCCATAATATTAAAAATGAACAGTTTATTGCTGGTCTACTATACTGCAGTATTTTTTTAAAGATTTCATATTATTTTAAGGTGAGCTTAAAGGGTACTCTACTGTGAAAATCACACAGCTTCAGTGTGACATCAATAAGACAAAGTATAATTTCATAGATATTGTTAATAGCAGTTTTTTCATAATAAAATATGTATAAACTTAATACATGACCTAGATTATTTATTTTGCAAAATCTTGTCATTTTAATAAATATTACGTGAAATTTATTAAATTATTTCTGCTCCCATTAAGCTCAGTGTGCTCTCTTTAAGGTCTTCCACGTTGAACGTCTATGTAAATACTTCATAAACAAACTTTAAATATAAACTGATGGTTGTCACTTTAAGTTAAGTTAATGGCTTTTCTGTGGAATCTGTCAACTCAAATCTGCAGACTGGCTCTGACATTTGGCAACTACTGTGAACTTCTCCAGACTGTAAATCTGTGGAAAATCAGGGCAAAAATTGTGTAGTGTATTCCAGCCTTAAGAGACTATAGAAAAGTTGACATCCATTTAATAAGAGGCTTCATAATGAGGCTAGTTTCTGTGTTCATCCCGTGAATGAAATGTTTTATTGGTTTGTTTTATTTGATTTTTGAATTTGTGTTACTTAGCTGAACATGGACTAGTCTAGATGTTGCAATGTGCTTAAATGATACTTCATTATATAACCGATCAAATTGAATGCCTTGTTGCTTGATTTGTGTTCTGTTTTTTTTTTTGTGATTGACTTTGTACATTCCAAAAAAATTTTTTTTCAATTTTTCTTTAAAAAGGTTGTTTAAAATAAACAAGAATTTTAAATAAAACATGATGTGAGCTTAATGGGAATAGGGGTGTGCTTAAAGGGTACAAACATGTATCCATTAAGCACAGCTGGACTTTTTGCATTTAATGATGTATATCTTAATTGAAATGTTTTTGTCATTTAAAA